ATCTTAATCCAACAATAAATATTTATTCACATTATATATATACCTCATATTATGTCCTACTACACATTTTTCTTATACTTTATAATTTTCTGTTAAAAAGGGATCAAATTGACAATATTGTGAGAAATGAAATTTTGATGGTACAACTGCACTACGGCAAACTCTTATTTCGAATTCCACCTGTTTTGGGTTCTGTTGAGCAAATAAAGACATCAATCCTTAGGAAATTATCTGCTTTTCATCAACATCAGTATAGCCTGTTTAAGTTTCAGATTTTTAAAATAATAGTTACATGTCTCAAATCTTTCATCCATTTGTCCAAAAGCCTATTAAAAATATTCAAAACTTTTTACTTTGCATCCTATAGGTTTTTGTAATTTTTAATTTTGATTTTTACACTGAAGGCACAAAAATGAAGTGGATAAAAAATGTTACAGCTGACTATTTTTAGCAGAAATAGTGGGGCAGAAATAGTGGGTCAGAGACAGTAATAGATTCATTTTCATGTCACCATGGATAACAAATGGGCTGCTAAGTTAGAATTATTCTATTTTAGTCTTTCTATCTCTTGTTTAATCTAATCTAATCTGATGGATTTTCTTTGATTTTTTATGACCTTTCAATACCAATATACTTGACAGTACAAGAAATTTAAAATAGAAGAAAAACCTATATCAGTGAGTCTTATCCTATTAGCGAAGTAAAATGAATGACAGGCTAATATTAAATTATGATTGAAGCTCAAAAATACATACCATTTATAAGAGACGAAAAAAAAATAATCTCTTCTACAAATTCATAAACCTTTTTAAAAATTATTGAATTATACAAGATCTCCTAACATGGATTGTATGTGCCACAGTAATGGATAACTTTTAACTGACAATATCATTTCTACAAGCACTGAATAATTTCTTATGAGTAGTAAGATCTTTGCTGAATATACATGTGTAGATCTAACAATAGATAGTAGTATAAAAAAATAACTGATAAGACTGAATGTCACCTTCTCTTTTGCTTTTTTTATCCAGTAAAGCCAAATAACATCCAAGCTAAGTTGGCTTAACGCCAGTCATCCAGCCATAAATTGCAAAAAAAAAATACATACCAATAAGATACTAATAAAATATCTATAGTATTACATATAGAATGATCTGTAACAAAAATAATTTGTACTATATATATATTGATATACTTTTGTATTTTCTGCTAATTATATATTTAATATGATAAGAATGGTTAATATTACTTGGATCACATCATTGTCTCTAGACTGGTAGAGAAATCCTGGTTTTATATTAGTTCTTTTTCTATCAGTGTTTAACATCTGATTCCACCACCAAGGGTGATATCGCAGATAAGTTGTCTTATTATTTTGTTTAATCAGGGGTCTTTCCTGTGGGAGGAAATTGCCGAACCCGGAATGCCACATATGCTCACACTATGAATCGAAACCATGCCTGCAAGTCAGAGGTGACCGGCCAGCTAGAGTTTGAAGTGCGACACTTTAGACCACTAGAGCCATCCCAAGCCCTGTTTTATATCTGTGAATAAAACTGTTTAACGCTGTGTGGAAGGCTTTTCAGTCCTAAGATCCAGTATGACACAACTATTTGAAGTTCTGTGTGGTACATTTTCAAATAACTATCAATGTCCAGTTTTCAGAGGAGTTTTAGACAAGCCGCCTGACTAGGAAGCACCCTTTTCCTGAAAAAATCCTGTCTATAACCCTGACATCTGTCCAGTGCCATCCTGAATTGCATTTTTTTTCTTTCTGTTTTCCAGTGAGTAATAGAAGTTATGACTGCATTTTAATTACCCCTTGTCAATTAAAAATTGGATGCAAGTGCTGTAAACTGTTATGGCAATTATTTTCTAAACGGCTTAATATTTTGAGCATCCAATATTTAGACAAGTTAAATACTGGAAGGTCATTTCTTCATATTTGATGTATGATTTGTCCACTACTTTAGGGATAAGATTCTAAAGATTAGGACTGATATCATGGAGGTTCAAGCTTCTATGACACTATCAATGCCTACTTACAGAATCATAACAGCAAATCTATGGAAGAATTTCCATATGTATACAGGACTGTAACTAGCTCAGATCAACGAGGGGGGCGGAAAGTGTTCTCAGGGGTGCTGTAAAATTGACGGACAATGTATATCTATGGTCGACAATTTTTTCACAGTGGGGCGAAACTGGTAGAGCAATGTGTACTTGATCAACTGTCAAAACACATGGAATCAAACAACCTAACAAACATCTTACAATCTGCATACAAATGTTTTCACAGCACTGAGACAGCTTTAATCAAAATAACTAATGATATATACCAAACTATTGATGATCAAAAATGTATTTTGCTGATACTTTTGGACCTATCGGCTGCCTTTGATACTCTTGATGTTAAAGACCATCTCCAAGCTCTACAGGAAGAAATCAAAGCTCATGGCACTGTTTTAAAGGACCTAAGTCCGTAACTCAAAATCCTCCAAAATCTTCGACATCAAAAACACGAATTATTGGTCAATTTAAATCAACATTGATGATGTAAACTTACCGGGAAAAGATGAGCTTCTGATATCCGATATTTAAGATAAAATAATTTTTTTAACATTGGTACACGAATCGTGTACCATAATGCGCTTCAGCCCCAGTTGTATTGAGAGACTCGGGGGACGAGGCTAGACACATTGCACCAAATCAAATGGAGTTATGTAGACTAGAATAACTAGACGCTAGAAATTTGCACTCGATTGAGATTGCCGATCTATTAAGATCCCAATGATGTGTGGTGTGCCCCAAGGGTCGGTTTTAGGCCCTGTATTGTTCCTTATCTTCACCCAACCATTAACTAAAATTGCTGAAAAGTTTAGTCTTAATATTCACTTGTATGCTGATGATACACAGATATGCTTCCTTCAATCAACAATCCACTAATTCAACTTTAAGTAATATTGAAAACTGTCTGGAAGAAATCAGGTTATGGATGACATCACATTTAATGAAACTAAATCCTGAAAAAACTGAGTATCTGGTAATTGGAACAAAACAACAACTTAGTAGATTCTCAATACCACCTCTTAAATTTCAACACAAAAGTCTTGCTCAATCTCAAGAAGCCAAAAACACTGGTGTAGTTCTAGATTCCACGATGTCCTTCACATCAAATCTGTTTGTTCCTGTTCTTATTTCCATCTTTACAGAATTAACAAAATAAAGAAATATCTAAATGCTGAGAGAACAGAACTCCTCATTCATTCATTCATTACAAATAAACAAGACTATCATAATGTCTTATTTTTTGGCCTTCCGAATTATCAAATTCAACACCTTCAACGAATTGAAAATGCTGTCGCCAGAGATTTGACAAGTACAAAAAATCAGAACACATCATCCCGATCCTGGAAAATTTACATTGGCTCTCAGTTCAACAACGTATAAAGTTCAAAATATTACTGTTCACTTTCAAGGCGTTATATGATCAATCACCAAAATATATCAAAGATCCGATTACCCCATATAAATCCACAAGAACTCTTAGATCCACAGATAAACAATTTCTGTATCAACCATCAGTTCTTCAACCATCAGTTCTCATTCTTTGCTCCTCTCTTATAGAATTCACTGCCTTACAACACTAGAACCACTGACTCCCTAGATGCATTTAAATCTCAGCTACAGAGGTTTCTGTTTACAGAAGCGTTTACGTAGTTCAATTGAGAAAACTTGAAAAGCGTGATAGAAACTCCTGTTTTAGTATTATCACACTATATAAATAGAGGATTATTATTATTATTATTATGATTTACTCCCTTAAACAATCAGGTCCTGAGTTCACAAATCATTATCCGACTTAAGTTTAGAATTTACTCAACTTTCTACACATCTTTGATCCAGAAACAGAAAAATGTGTACATAGTATCTTAATGATGTATTTGATACATTAAAACAACAAAAGTTTTATAAAGTGCTATATTTAAGTTAAATTAAGGCTAACAATTTTGAGTAAATTCTTAACTTAAGTCTGACATTAGTTTTGTAAAACCGGGGCCAGGAACTTTTTTTAAGTAACCAACAAAACTGAGTTTTACCAGTAGTTCTTCAGGTTTTTCAGCTGAGGGAGTAAATTTACGAATAGCAGCAGGATCTTTTCTTTTTATAAATAAAAAATTACAATGAACAAAATTAGGTGCAGGAATTCTGACCAAGTAAAGATCAAAATGATTTGGCCTACTATATTCATCACTTCTATTTAGTTCTTCTTTATTTAATCAAGTTAATTTTGCAAATTTAACCTCGGTATGGAAAAGTTGCACTTTATTTATAGGTCAACATAAATACCCATTTAATGAACCATTTGATTAATGTGCAACATTAACTGTGATGTTGGTGGTTGTATTATAGGATTTCTTTGGCCAGCACACATCACCAATCAACTATCTAGTAAAACAACTCATGAATTATTCAAATGGTTCAATTTACCCTTGTATTTTGTTCAAGCAAATTATTCAAATACAAATATACTATATATATGTTAGTCCCAAAATTACCAGATTCATGATGAAAGGATATTAATGCAGTCAAGCTGAGTAATGCATAACAACCCGTAATATGAGGTGAGCTAGACTTACATGTTATCTATAGCAATAATAATAAATCTTGGCAATCCTAGTAGAACGACTCAAGGTACTCTGTGTCATTACAGGTTTTAAATAGGATCAACTGACTACTATCTCGTAAATTTTAATATGTTTTCAGATAAATTAGCTCTCAAGTAAGATGGTGATTTCTAATTTAAAGAGATAAGTCTGCTAATTTTTGAGAAAACAAATGTTCCAGAAGATTAAGTGTGAAACCACATAACCGTATTTTTGTGAAGTTCATATAGTTAAAGACGACTGTTGTAGGATACCTAGGTTACCGGTGTCAGGGTTTGGCTTGGTACCCAGTTTGGATCGCTACCACATACATTTCAGTTGCAATACAAGAGATCTAGACCTAGACATGGTCTATATTATATGTATATAGTTTTAGTTGGCATATTTATAATGAGGGGGGTTGGGATGGCCTAGTCGTATAGAGAGCTGGCCGGTAACTGAAATTTGCTTCACATATAATTACAGGTAAGGTGGATGGTGGACAGATTCTTTTATTTTCTCCAAATTTTATATTGCACAGTTAAAACAAATGAGAAAAGAACTTGTAATACCATTTTAAAACTTGGTAAGAAGATGAGTGCATGAGTGTTATCAGGTGTTCTACAAAGAGTAAGCATACCTACTAGATTTGCACAAGCCAAACTAAACAATATTTTGAATTAAAAAAACAATATTATCCTTTACAGTAGAATTCCCTTTAAATCCATTCGAATCGCTTCAGTTTCTGAAATCTAAATCTGTAACTATCATTCCATAAATACTGACATGTGTAGTGAATTAAACAGCGTATGCTTACTCTTCAACACATGATACCACTTATCGTTGGAGAATTTCACATAGATGTAATATTTCTTTGTAGTACCTTATATTTAGAAATATTGCAGACTACACTTATAGTGTAAGTCTGTACATCACCAAGTTATCCTGAAAAAGACATCTTACAACAGTCCCAAATATATCAGACAGATAAGCCAAAATAATCCTCTGGGTCTGCTTAATATCATTTTGTTAGCTGTAAATTGAGCATGTGTGAGTTAGTTGTATTTAACGTCCGCTTCCACCGAGGGGATATCGCAGACAAATTGAGCTTCTGTCTATTCTTTATATACTGTCTTCTAGTAGTACAGAATCTGATCATTAACATTAAACATCTGACTGATATATAGAGCTAATACAGCTCAAGTGTCAGAATGGTTCTTAAAAATTCTAAATTAAAATCATTTCTAAAGGTGCATCCAATTAATCTAAGCAAGGTTAGTGATCAGGTGTGTGTTAAGGTTTATAACTGATTGTTGTCTTCTTGTGTTTACTGACCTCTTCCTGGTGATTAATAATTAGTAGTCAATTAACATGATTGTTGTTGGAGGAACATAAGATAAGACACATTCTCTTGGTCATGGCTTCACCCTTAATTGATTCACTTTAAGAATCTCTAAAATCACATTATGAGCACTTATTTGGTAAGGTCATAACTAGGCAAAACATCTAAATAGGTTAAGCACAAGCATTATATTGTACTATGGATATGTAAGAAAATCAACTTTAATACAGCTCTTTGTTACTGGATTGTTTAAAGATACATTTCCGGGTACAAACTGGGTGATTTGATGATATATTTGAACTAAAAACATATTCAAACTAATTAATTTATTATAATTTTGCTTCAAATCCCTCTCAAAGCGTTGCAATTGTCGGGGAATATCCTGGCTATAAAAAATCGATCATTGCATACACAAGACGATGTTGTCTTTAATCGCTGACTATTTATTACAAATATCGAAGCCTAATTAAATTTTCGGATTATCTACTGCCCGCGTCTTTTTATCTCAGAAAGTGTTGTACGTCTTATTCTTCATAATGTTTATCAAAATGTACATTAGGCGCTCAATCTCCGGGTGCAACCTTCGTCGTCACACGTGCAGACACTCCGAATCGTCGGGCTGTCAATTAGGGAAACCCTTACATTTTTGTCCTGTATGCGCTCCATGAGTGTTTTTCAGGGAATCCAGTATTTTTCTAGTAAGATTGGATATTTCTACTTTCCATATATACCAAAATTGCCATACTTTTATTGGAAATAACCACCCAATAAATACTTTTCGATGAACGTAGCTTTAATAAAACTTCCTTAGGGTATGTTATTAAATATAGTAATTTAATAACAGAGCATAATTATTCAAAATAAATATAGGTGACACACCTTATATATATATATATATATATATATATATATCTTAACCTTCATAATACCCAGTTTAAACAAAATATATACATATATATATATACAATATATTATGATATATAAATCTTTAAAATGACTTAATTTATGTCAGCTTATCTATTCATATTCATGAACTTTACTTATTATTCTTAAAAAAGATTATATCTATTATAATATATCTGATAGATATAAAACTTATATGTCTTTAATGGATACACTAAATAGTAATACTTGTATAATATAGTGTATAAAATAATACCAAAGAATGAATCAATGAAGTGGGGTTTAATGTCCTACTAATACTAAAGAATACAGACAATTTATATATATATATATATGTAGTAGAGTAATCTTATTTATTGTATGGACAGTTTAATATGGTCACAATTCTAATTTACTCTTAGATAATATGTTACACATCACTGCATCTTTAAACTGTTCTGTTCTATACACTCTTCTTAAAGGTATACAGTGAGTTAGAGTTCACTCAACCTGCTCACTGGTGTTTCATTTTCACCTTTAACCCGAAGGTTTCTTATTGGAGTTGTTTGTAAAATCACCTTGGTCACTATTAGATAGAATTTGGTAGAGTAAGGTTGTATGTTTCATCCAACCTTGGTATCATTTTTTTATTTAGAGTTTCAGTATAAATTGTCGATTGTTATTTTCATCAATCGTGTGTATTAGTATTTTATTAGTAGCATTATTATCTACAGATTGTTGTTTACAGTTGAAGAGAGAGTATAAGGTACTTCACCTCATTCCAGTCTCTGGCTACTTTCATTTAAAAACCCCTTCTTGGTTTTTTTTTTACTGAATATCAAATAAACTGTTGTGAAACTGGGAAGTTATTTGAAGGAAAACAGAAAAGATGTATCAATAAATAAGTTAAAGTAGCTTAGTCTCTAACTCAATATCATCTAAAATCTTCGACATCGAAAACACAAATTATTTGTCAATTTAAATCAACATTGATGTTGTGATCTTACAGGGAAAAGATGGGCTTCTGATATCCATTAATTAAGACAAAATAAACATTTTACCGTTGGTACACGATTCGTGTACCATGGTGCATTTCAGCGAAATTTTTAACAAGGGACTCGTAGAAAGAGGCTATATATAATCCACAAGTCATGTCAAACGGTGACGGCATATTCTTATCTGGAGATCATGCACAATAAATACTATCGGTATAGAGTGGAATAACCAGACGCTAGAGATTGCCTTTTGATTGAGACTTCTGGCGTATTTCGCCAAACATAACTGATTAGAAATTGCAGTAAAAACAGAAACGATTGAATATATGCATTCACATTACATTATTATATGCGTTGCGACCCATTTGTGTCAATTTCTAGATCCAAAATATTAGCGATTTAGCTCCTTTAACCTGTTACTGAAGATATTAATAATCTCATCTCTAGTATATTATAGTCTACCAGTACTATTAGTTGGAGTTATATATTACTTCTATATGAATGCTCACATTATCTTTTAAGGATGTATGTTTTCTGTTGTATGACTGATTCATTGGTGATTCTGGTCCATGGCCTTGACTAGTCTCTGATATACAAATGGTTTTACATGATGAAGTATTTAAAGAAGCAGTAATCAGTCTCCCCAAAAAGTTATATATATCCATATATATATCCAAAAATATTAGCACAACCGTAAAGCTGCACTACTTTGTTTGACGGTAAACGATGAAAAGATAAAAGGTATGCCGACACAAACTGATTTCAACACTGATTTTATAACGTTTTAACAATTTAAAGTACTTTTCGCCCATCTTGGAGCTATTCATAAATAATGTCATTGCACAGTGATGGAAACAATACTACAATTCATACAATTTACATAGTAACACTGTGGTTTTATATGTATAATTTAGAAGACAAGATAAGCCTTCTCTTGCTAAAACACCCAATACATTAACTAATATCTATACAAGTTGTCTTATTCCACCAGAAGCATCTATTTCTTGGGAATTCTGCATGCTATCTAAAATAATCATTCACATAATTGATTTTATGGAAAACTTACTTGAAAATTTAGCGTGTGCAAGTTGTATCATAAGGTTTGTCATTGAGTCAACTGGCATGGTTTCGATTCCCCGGCCGGTTGTATGTGACAAGGAGTATGGTCGCCTGTCCAAACTCAGGGTTTTCTCCAGGTCCTCAAGTTTCCTCCCCACTGCTAAAGACCAATACACGCGCAAGTGAATTATTGAAATAAAATTGAACAATATTGAGTACCAAAATGACCTAGTTTGTGTCGTGTGGATGTTAAACCCCATTTTTCTCTCTCTCTATATATATATAACTGACTGAAGTGACAAGTGACTAATAATTCTTTCGAAGACCGGGGGTTGGGGTGTGGATGGCGTTGCATCATAAGGTTTGTCATTGAATCAATTGGCGTGGTTTCGATTCAACAGTTGTCCATGACAAGGAGTAGGGTTGCCTGTCCAACCTCATGTGTTTTCTCCGGGTCCTCCAGTTTCCTTACACTGCTAAAGACCTCTCTGCGCAAGCGAATTAATGAAATAAAATAGAACCGTAGTTAGTCCCAAAATGACCTAGTTTGTGTCTAGTGAGCAGAAATTCCTCTGTGTACCTGTTTTCACTTGTCACTTCAGTCAGTTATATAGAAGGATAACTCATGTTTCTTTTTGCATTTGTCACTTCCCTTTCTTGAAATCTTCATAATGCATCTATTGTAGCAATGGTCTCGTGTTAAAATTATATTTGGAACGTGTAACCAGTTCTATCACATTGATATAATGACTGACACCAATGTCCTTTAAAGTTTCCTGTCAAAATCGTGCAGAACTGATTTCATTACACATCGTTAAAACTAAAAGGTAGCATAGCAGGGTACATGTATTAAGTATGTTTTTATGTAAAATCCCAGTTTCTGTGTTTTGTGAAAGTGACCTCTGGTTACCCCAGATATATGCCAAAATGGTCATAGAGACTATATATGTCTCAAAAAGTTTCATTGTCTCAGGAACCTTGCAAACCCCCTCTTGCAAAAATTCCTGGATCCACCCCTGTACACCATGCAGTGGGCTATGAGGGAAATTCAGCCCAGACAGCTGCGTTTCTGCCTACTTTTCTAAAAATTCCAACTGCCAAAGGTTCTTTATGTGCATGTCAATGCATACACAGCGCCTCAGTTTTTTGTCCCATCTAAAAGACAAGATGCTGTTCCCAACAAGGAGAAATTAACCGGACTAGAAAATGAACTAATTAGAACCAATTAACTAACTACATCTACAGACCACCCAATCAATGTCTCTTTACACATCAATAAGTTTATCATATTTACAGATTTTAATACTCTGTATCAAAAGACTCTTTAAAGTAAAGTACATTCTTAATGAAACTAATGAAAGTGACTTTAAAAACAATCCATTAACCTTTCAATCTGAGTTCTTAAAGCTTATATATAGAACTCATATATCAAACCGTTGTATAAAGTAGGCCTCCATCTGCAATAATATTTCAAAGAGACAAATTTTAATTTTTTTAAAAAGCAATAACCGCAAAGATCAAAACAATGCCACACTCACTGACATATGCCAGTATAAGGTATAATGTTAATAATGTCTCTTCAATCTTCTATTTTGACCATGTTGATCCACACATATCAGTGATATGCTAGGAAAGATGGTGGTGGTATTTAGCCATGCTGCAGCATTCGACCCCCTTTGGGTTCATTCTCCAAATGTGTGTTTTTACATTCAACTCTTTCAAGAATATATATATTTTTCACCCCTCCCTCTTTCAGTAATTCTGGATAAACCACTGTGATTACATCAATCTTCTATAAGCGATAAAAGATCTGTAAACTACTAATGAAAAAAAAATCTAAATCAAAATTATAGTGAACTTCCCTTTTAACTTT